AAACGTAGGAGATTTCGTCCAAATTTTGTTTCACGGTCGAACTACGACTTGACACGATAGGCTGCAGGTCATTGATGTTGATGTTGTTAAACCGTAGGTCAGGTCGGAGTCAGAAAAATTAGTGATGGACAAAAAAACAAGTCGAAATGACCTAAAAAAAACAACACAAAAATGAATGAAAATGAAAAAAACCAACAAAATGAATGGCAAAAAACAGAGGAAAGCTAACTTTTAGCTATAAAAGATGAAAGCCAAAATTAGCTAGATTTTTACTAAAATTGAAGAAATGTGTCATTAAATAATAATTTGTGGACCACAAATTACTCTTTGCAAGGTCCACATCTGGTCCCCGGGCCAGACTTTGGCATGTATTGCATGGTTCAATGTCATAATCATAACCTGCTGGTGGAATTTTCCTGCTTACACGTAGCTCCTCTGCTGCTAATAAACTACAGTATAAACTAGCGCATGGCTAAAATGCTAAGCTAAAACCAATTCCCCAAGCTAGCAGCATCGAATACGAAAAAGAAACTGGATTTTTAGAATGCCTTTTTAAAGCCAGTGTGTGTGTGTGTGTGTGTGTGTGTGTGTGTGTGTCAGTGTCAGTTTGAAGCAGATGTAAATAACAGTGTTGAGTCGAAGCATCATTTTTCCGCTCAACTCTGCTGTGACATGAAAAATATTAGCTGCCAGGAGCCGATACTTGACAACTCCTCATGCCTGGGCGTCGTGGGGTGGGTGGGGTCCACGCATATACACATGCAGCCAACACAGGGGTGGAGGTCAGAGGTCAGAGGTCAGCAGTCCTCCTCCACTGCTGACAGCTCAGATTTTTATTTTTGATCTGGCTGATCGCGCGGCTCGTTAGCGCCGAGTGTTGAGCCCCGCGGGCCGCCGTAGCGTCCTGATCTTTAAACAAGGAAGATGTGACGACGAGGACGACCTTGCTGAGGTGGAGTCTGGATAATTGGGAAGCAGCTGATGCTGTTGATTGTTATTCCACGCAGACACTCGCTGCTCATGTACGGTGACAACACAGGGTCATTTTTCCTGCCATCTTATAGCCTTATTAACATTATGACCTCAGCATGTGTGGGTGTGTGTGTGTGTGTGTGTGTGTGTGTGTGTGTGAAGGACGTTTACCATCGTTGGTATATGTTTTTAAAAGAAAAGAATTTCGTTTACCATCGTTAGTATATGTTTTTAAAAGAAAAGAATTTCTAAGGTTTTTAAACGTGCACCAGAACTTTGTCCAAACTTTATCTGTAGTATTACATGTAAAGTAATAGTAAAGTATACTGGTTTATATTTATTAATTATAAATAAATAAATAAAAATATGATGAGATAAAAAAAATCCCAAGGTCAGAATTGCCGTCTGAATATGAGAAATGCATTTAGTGGGTTATCGCTATGCTAGCATCGCTAACGCAGCATCACATTTGGTCTAAATTGTTATATATATATGTTAGTTCATTGCTAAAGTGCTACCATAATGCTACATGCTAGCACACGTCGGAGTTTGTCCTGAACTCTACAACATCCAGAGGCAGAACCTGCAGATTTAGTTCTTTTTCTCGTTGGTTTTTTTTTTGGGGGGGGGTCACATCAGTGCAGCTTCAGTCCTGAGTCATTTCTTCTTAATAGTTGAGCGACATCATCATCATTATCCACGAATCTGCCGAATCTGCCGACTGCACGTATGAAGTGACAGCGGTCACAGGGAGAAATTTTGCTGACGGTTCCTTCTCTCCTCTCCTCTCCTCTCCTCTGTGTCTTTGTCTCTCCCCCCTTTTCTCTTCTTGTTTCTGTTCTGATAGGTGCCAATTATACCTCCTCCGCATCGAAGCCTCCCCCTGCTCACCAGCCACCCCGTCATCCAGCTTTAATGTCAACTCTCCGGCTCCAAAGTGAAGGAAATTTACCCAGCGCCTAGTCTCTGATGAGGAGGGAAGAAGAAGAGCAACACAGCAAAATGCAGAGCTTGACTCTTTTTCAAAGCGTGTGTTCATTTCAGTGGTGAACTCCACGGTGAGGACTGGTGTGGAGAAATCCCCTCTGGGTTTTGACATCTCAGATTTCCTGCCCTGTTTTCCTGCCCTCCTCGTTGTTTTTTTTTGTTCTTCTGGCCTGGTACTTTTTGGAGGCAGCTCAGGCGATGATGGGTTGGAGCTGCTGCTCAGCCGTACGCAGAGCCCTGATTCTTCTGGCGTTTCTCGTCTTCCCCCTGTGTGGAAGGGGCTGCTGGGGCCTGGATCCCAGCTCTGGGGATCTGAAGAAGTCTCCACACTCTGATCCAGACCCCTGGGAGGTCCTGCAGCGGCACAAACGCAGCTGGGTGTGGAACCAGTTCTTTGCACTGGAGGAGTGCACAGGAAACGACCCGCTCTACGTCGGGAAGGTAAGTGATGTGTGTGATGTGTTTTTGGGTCAGCGTTCGGCACAGGAGAGTCCTTCGCAGGAAACAGTGGGTTTTCTTTTTGTTACTCCAGAGTTCCCTTCATCCCCGTACAATAAAAGTATCAATAATCTCCCTCTACATAAATAAAATCTGGGACGGAGCGGAGGAAACTGTTTATTCCCACTGACCTACATCAGGTTAAAAAAAATGGAAAAACAAGAACGAAGGAAGAAGTGAAGGAAGAAGTGAAGGAAGAAGTGAAGTACGGGCCGAAAATATTCTCCTCACAAAAGTCCAATAGTCTCATCTTTGAGCTATAAAACGACAAAGTCAGAGGATAGAAAAGTCTTAAATTAAAAATAATAATTCATAATAAGTCATAATAAAAAAAACCCAATATGATAAAATGTCATCTGTAGAAGATTCTGGTTTGGGGATTAATAAATTATAATTCTGAAATGAAAAAGTAATTTTTCTGGGAGGAAAAGTCAAATATAAGTCATAATTAGCATTTCTAAAAATCCTAATTAGGAGACGGTCATTACAAGGAGATTAAGAAGTCGTAAACAGGGCAGAAAAAGTCGCAATTATAACATTAAAAGTCATAATCATTAAGTCATAAAAGATAATAGAGAGGAGATGAAAAAATAAAATTTCATAACCGTGAAAAATAATTAATTTGTTGGGAATAAAAAGTTATATTTAGGAGATTGTAAGTCATAATTAAAAGATTGAAGAAAATCATTGGAAGATTGAAACTGTTGGTTATAAAAAAGTCGATAAGAGATGAGACATGTGGGAGATAAAAAGTCAAATTATGGAAAGTCGTGAACTTGAAACAATGGAACGATCAACGTTCATGATGTAAAGGTAATTATTTTGTCATAAAAGTAATAAACAGAAGATTCATGAGACGAGTTTAAAGTCAAGAGAAGTTCAAATGTTGGCCTTCTTAAAGAAGAAAGTCCTTTACTTTGTATCAAAAACCTGATATTGAACATTTTATTTCCATTTTTATGACATAGACCTTTGGTTTTTGGACGTTAATTTTATCCCAGTGATGGCTTTTTTGCTCTAATTCCAACTGGAGTCAAACTTTTTCCTCAGATGTGAGGAGTTTTATTTTGGAGGCCAGACGGCGACACCTTGAGGTGATTAATATTCGAATCAGTTGCTGTGTGTGTGCGTACATATACACGTGTGTGTGTGTGTGTGTTTGTACAGTAGGTGTAGTGTGAAGGTGCGAGCCGACGCATCAGTGTAGTACATGTTTTGGCAGCTGCGTAACGCGTGTGATGACATTCAAAGCAACGGCACAAATGGCAGCGTTGGTGCGACACATCGACTAATCAGGCAGTAATGAGCCGATCTGTGGTGGCGCTCACACTCCCTCAGGTGGAGACCAGACCTGAGACGGTGACGGAGAACCTGAAGGAAGAACTCCGTGTTTAGTATAAAACTACATGGTTCGAACTTAACTTAACTTTTAGCTGTTGTTGCTAAAGTTTCTGCTCTCTCCATGTCTGGCCCAACGAGTCATTTCTTCAAGTACTCACTGATAAGACATGATCACTGGCCTGTAAAAGGTAATTTCTTCAAGTACTCACTGATGAGACATGATCACTGGCCTGTAAAAGGTAAAAGTATCCAAAATATGTTCCTGTGTTTATTTTTGCTGATGAACTACAATTCAAAAGCAAAGTAAAACTAAATCCGGGCTAACTATTAGCTATTTCCTAGCTAATTTCTGACCTTGTGAAGAGGTTTTTCATGTACTTTGCAGTAACATAGAATCCCCCCGTGATGCGTTTGTGGACCCTTCTCTTCATTTTGTTTGTATTTGTATAACTGCAAGACCCCTGTTTATTATTTAGAAAAGAGTTTCGAAACATGTACTTGGGCATATTCAGCTAGAAATGTGAGACTTTCAGGGTTTTTTTTTTCATTTAACATGAAAAACAGAACCTGACTAAAGTACATTCAGGCAGAAGTGGCTCTAATCTTCATCAACTTGCCTTCCTCCACTTCAAGAGATTATTAACTAGAGATGTCCGGAACACGCTGCGTGCACTTGTTTCTGACTGAAGTAACGAAGACGCTGCGTGCACTTGTTTCTGACTGAAGTTTTGAGGGGTCAAAAAAAAGTGAAACACAAAAGTAAACATGGAGGAAAAACTAGTTTACCAACATGTAAAAGTTAAAAAAAACTCATTAAAAAAAGTCCAAACGATATCAGGCTAAAATGTTGAAACAGCCTTCTGCATAATTACTGGTCAACGCAGCGGCTCCGTTTTCAGCACCACACTGTAAATGGACAGCTCCTCAGTAACGGTCTCTGTGTCCAGATGGATCCTGGATTGGTCTCCAGATCCCTGTTATCTTGCAGAATTTCCTGGTCTTTTTATTAAATTACATCCCATCGTCCACGCTCATCTGCAGGATAATCGTCCTCATCTGCCTGTGTTTGCCGGTTCTGCTCTCACAATCCCATTTCCTCACCATCTCTGAACTGGATTAGGGTCTCCTGGAAAAAAACGTTTGACAGTCCTGTCGTTCTCGTTTGTGCTGGAGAGGCATCTGCATGACAGAGAGTGTGTCGGTGACACGTCGGAGTTCACAGAGAGGTCGTTGTGTTTGTCGTCTGTGGAACAAAGGATTTTACAATGTCACTTCATGACAACGTCACGGAAAAAACTTCACAGAAACAGTTTTATCTAAACACGCTCTGATTTCCACACAGGAAGATCCATCCATCCATCCATCCATCCATC